GGTTTTAACAGATTCACATGGTAGATTTGCTAAAGCTTTCACTACCCAGGTTGGTGTACTTTAGAATCTACACCACCAACCTTTTATACCAACTCGAATGGCCCTTATGTCAGGGCAGGGCTGTGGAACGGACAGGTACACCCCGGCTGCGGTAATGGCCACCGCCAATGGCGTGTAGCTGGTGAGAATGACAATAGCGTAGTCAGGCAAGCTGGGTCAACAACAACGGGACAAAACAGTACAGAACAGTAGACAGAGAATCACAGGTCACGGGCCGGGTTCAGCAACGGAAGGTCAGATCGAAGGAAAACACAGAGAATGGTCTAGTCACAAGCCGAGTCAAATACCAGAAGAGTCACGAGCATATACACAGAGCTGTAGCAAGACAAAGACACAAGACACAAGTGCAAAGAGCATGTGCGGATCACAGGCTTATATGTACTCAGCCACACCCCTCTGGGGGATGGACCTCAGAGACCTGAAGGCATAAAAGCTTCCCACCATGCTCAGCATAAATCCAAGATGGATGCCAGCACATGGAGTAACATAACCTCTGGGAAAAGGTAGGACCTTGACAGTACCTCCTCCTCAAGGGCCCCTCCCCCTCCGCGGCTCAACAAAAGGTTTCTGAGGAAAGCGGGTATGAAAAGCGCGGAGGAGGGCAGGAGCATGGACATCCGCGGAAGGAACCCAGGAACGCTCCTCGGGACCATAACCGCGCCAATGAACCAGGAACTGTAATCGACCGCGCACCAATCGAGAGTCCAGGATCCGGCTCACCTCATACTCCTCATGACCGTCAACCCGAATGGGACGGGGCCGAGGCAGAGAGGTAGTGAAGCGATTGCAGATCAGAGGTTTCAACAGTGATACATGAAAGATATTGGAGATCCGCATCCCAGGTGGAAGGGCAAGGGCATAGGCCACCGGATTCACCTTGCGGAGAATGCGAAAAGGACCGACAAAACGGGGAGCTAGTTTGGGTGTGGGCACCCGAAGATTGAGGTTACGAGTAGACAACCACACCCGATCGCCGACCTGGTATGAAGGAGCGGGCAACCGTCTGCGATCAGCCTGGAACTTCTGACGCTGAGCCGAGTCCCTCAAAGCCCTCTGGATCTGCCCCCATGAAGAACGCAGGGCAGCAAGATGGTTCTCCACAGCCGGAATGTCCTGTGGTGAGAACCTCTCAGGTAATACCGCGGGTTGGTACCCATAGTTGGCCATGAAGGGAGACATCCCGGAGGAGGAGTTGACCGCTGAGTTCCTGGCAAACTCTGCCCAAGGCAGGAGATCGGCCCAATCGTCCTGATGGTCCGAGATATAACACCGAAGGAATTGTTCTAAGGCCTGATTGGAACGCTCCGCAGCCCCATTGGACTGCGGGTGGTAGGCTGAAGAAAAGGAGAGACTAATACCCAACTGGGAGCAGAAGGCGCGCCAGAATCTGGACACGAACTGACTCCCCCGCGGTCCGAGACAATCACCTTGGGCAACCCATGCAGGCGAAAAATCTCCCTGGAAAAGACCGTGGCCAGTTCTTGCGCTGTTGGTAATTTCCTGAGTGGAATACAATGGCACATTTTGGAAAAACGATCGACGACCATGAGAATGACCGTATGACCCCGAGACACAGGGAGGTCTACAATAAAGTCCATGCCCAGGTGTGACCAAGGACGCTCCCCATTGGGAATGGGTTGCAGAAGACCCATTGGAAGATGCCGTGGAGATTTATTCTGGGCACAGATCGAACATGCCGCTACATAAGAGGCGATGTCGGCACGGAGAGTTGGCCACCAGAACAACCGAGAGACGACCCAAGACAACTGGTTCCTCCCCGGATGCCCGGCAGTTTTGGAGTTATGGTAAGTACGCAGCAGACGGGTGCGCAACCCCTCGGGTACAAAACATCTACCCTCCGGTCTCTCGGGAGGAGCGTCAGTTTGAGCCGCCAAAATCTGCTCCCCAAGGGGAGAAGTCAGACTGGTGCGATGGCAGCCAGGATCTGATCTGGAGGTATGACCGAGGTTGGCTCAGAGTCCTCCCTGGACAACTCAGAGTATTGCCGCGATAATGCATCAGCCCTGACATTCTTGGAACCAGGCAAATAGGAGACCACATAGTTGAACCGCGACAAAAACAAGGCCCATCTGGCCTGACGGGGACGGGGTGTCAATCTTTTGGCCTCCGAAAGATAAGTCAGGTTCTTATGATCGGTAAGAATGAGGACCGGAACCGCGGAGCCCTCGAGCAGGTGCCTCCATTCCTTGAGAGCCAGAATGATTGCCAAACAACTCCCTATCTCCAATCTGGTAGTTGCACTCTGCAGAGGAAAGCTTCCTGGAGTAGAACCCACAGGGAAGTAGGGGTCCATCGGGCGACCGACGTTGAGACAGGAGAGCGCCTACTCCAGTCTCGGATGCATCGACCTCAAGGACGAAGGGCAATCCAGGATTGGGATGAGACAGTATCGGAGCCGAAGCGAAGGCGGATTTCAGAGCCTCGAAAGCTACGATGGCCTCGGATGACCACTCGTGAGGATTACTGCCCTTCTTGGTTAGGTCTGAGAGAGGCTTTGCCAGCGTGGAGAAGTTCCTGATGAACTTCCGATAGTAGTTGGCAAAACCCAAAAAACGCTGAATGGGCCGAAGACCATTGGGACGAGGCCACTGCAGAACCGCCGAAACCTTCTGAGGGTCCATGGAGAATCCCTCCGCAGATATGATGTAGCCTAAAAAGGCAACTTGGGATCGATGGAATTCACACTTCTCAAGTTTACAAAAAAGTTTCGTTCTCACGTAATCGTTGCAGCACCTGCTTGACATCCTGGATATGGGACTCCATGGAGGCAGAGTAAACCAGGATGTCATCCAAGTAAACTACCACGCACTGCTGCAACAAGTCACGAAGGACATCATTTATGAATTCCTGAAAAACTGCGGGCGCGTTACACAACCCGAAGGGCATCACCAGGTATTCGTAGTGGCCGGTTCTGGTGTTAAACGCGGTCTTCCACTCATCCCCCTGTTTGATCCGTACGAGGTTGTACGCCGCCCTAAGGTCAAGTTTGGTAAAGACTGTTGCCCCCTTAAGGCGGTCGAACAACTCAGTAATCAAGGGAATCGGGTATGCATTCTTAGTGGTGATTCGATTGAGACCCCTATAATCAATGCAGGGCCTCAATTCACCACCCTTCTTCTTTACAAAGAAAAAGCCCGCTCCAGCTGGGGAAGTAGACTTACGAATGTGCCCCCGGGAAAGCGCATCCGCAACGTACTCCTCCATGGCCTTATTCTCCGCAACCGAGAGAGGATACACCCTGCCACGTGGAGGAGTGGCACCGGGTTGCAAGGATATGGCGCAGTCGTAAGGACGATGAGCAGGTAAGGCACCAGCGCGTACCTTATCAAACACGTCCTGGTACTCCCCATAATCAGTGGGCAACGCAGAGTCCGAGGAGGCACACAACACCTTAACCGGCCCACGGATGCACCCGGCCCCACACTGTGGAGACCACGAGAGAATCTCGGCAGTTTGCCAATTGAAGGTTGGATTGTGCATCTGGAGCCAGGGATACCCCAAAACCACCGAATAGTGCGGAGAAGAAATCACCTGGAAACAGGCCAACTCCCTGTGAACAGCCCCAATAGCTACTTCAACTGGCATAGTCTCGTGGGTAACTTGCGGTGGTTGCAGGGGCCTGCCATCTATCGCCTCGAGAACCAATGGGGTAACTCGAGCCTGCAGGGGAATGGAGTGCTGGGCAGCAAACGAGCTGTCCATAAACAACCCGCCGGCCCCAGAATCTACCAACGCCTGGGCCGTCACCGAGCCCTCCGCCCAAGAGAGGACAACGGTGATCAGTGGCTTATCTCTGCGGAACGCCGGGGACGAGGAGACTCCACCCAAGATCTGTCCCCGACAGGATCTCAGGTGCGAGCGTTTCCCGGACGGACCGGACAGGACGCCGAAAGTGCCCACCAAGACCACAGTACAGGCAGCGACCCTCCCGACGCCGAGCGGCCCGCTCTCCCTCGGAAAGGCGAGCAAACCCCAGCTGCATGGGCTCACCACCAGACAAGCTATCCCCAGGAGGCGTGGGAGGAGAGGGAGGAATGGGTGGGACAGAAAACGCAGGTGCCAGTCGATTGGAAGGCCTCCGCAGGCGTTCCTTGAGTGAAGGCCTCTCCCTGAGCCTGGTATCAATCAGGATCAGGAAGGAAATTAGTGCTTCCAGCTCCACAGGCAATTCCTTGGCTGCGATCTCGTCCTTCAATGCATCAGAAAGACCCTGAGAAAACGCAGCCACCAGAGCCTCATTGTTCCAACCCACCTCTGCTGCCAGGGTACGAAACTCTATGGCGTACTCGGCAACGGTCCGTGAACCCTGATGCATAGACATGAGCAGCTTGGCAGCCGAGGCGGAGCGAGCCGGTACGTCGAATACCCTACGGAAGGCATCGACAAAACCGGAAAACTCGTGAATCACTGGGTCATTCCTCTCCCATAAGGGATTCGCCCAGGCCAAGGCCTTGTCTGAGAGTAGCGATATTAGGAAACCCACCTTTGACCTCTCAGTCGGAAAAGCGTGGGGTATTAATTCGAAGTAAATCCCCACCTGGTTGAGGAAACCACGACACTGACTTGGCTCACCCCCAAAGCGCTGTGGAAGAGGGGCTGAACCAGTCATACCTCTGGGCGCCGCGGGTACCGCAGCAGCCGCGGCGGTAGGCGCAACCAGCGGAACAGCAGCGGGAGCGACCACCGGAGTGACAACCGGCCTAATAACACCAGGAGTAAGGTGCGCGGTGCGTGCCAACAGAGTTTGCAACGCCTGAGCGAACTGATCCAACAGGAGATCCTGTTGATCCAGTCTGGCGACCAACATTGGAAGTGAAGGCGTACCTGCACCGTCAGGATTCATGGCACTTGTGTAATGTCAGGGCAGGGCTGTGGAACGGACAGGTAGGCCTAGTGGCAGGGTAACGCACTGGCTGACGACAACCACCACCAACAGACCGAAGTCCCTCAGGGCGCGGAGTCTAAGTCCCAGGCTGCCCTTCACCAGGGCCCCTGATGGTGGGGATGGACTTGACGCAGCCAGGAACCAGGTCGCGGCCCCCGAGACACCCCGGCTGCGGTAATGGCCGCCGCCAATGGCGTGTAGCTGGTGAGAATGACAATAGCGTAGTCAGGCAAGCTGGGTCAACAACAACGGGACAAAACAGTACAGAACAGTAGACAGAGAATCACAGGTCACGGGCCGGGTTCAGCAACGGAAGGTCAGATCGAAGGAAAACACAGAGAATGGTCTAGTCACAAGCCGAGTCAAATACCAGAAGAGTCACGAGCATATACACAGAGCTGTAGCAAGACAAAGACACAAGACACAAGTGCAAAGAGCATGTGCGGATCACAGGCTTATATGTACTCAGCCACACCCCTCTGGGGGATGGACCTCAGAGACCTGAAGGCACAAAAACTGAGAATATAAGCACAGTCACCCAGCCCCCAAAACATAATCATCTAAGCTTGGTGTACACAACATTTTGTGCTTCTTGTGATATATGCAAATGTTCTTTTACCAAAGCATCACTTAGAAATTCCCGCTTTCATTTGTGTGTTCTACCACTGTCTTATGAGGAGAAGATTCGCTTTTCAAGGTTTCTTTTATCAGGTCAAGCAGCCCCCGTAGTCTTCACCTGTACACCAGCTCAAAAGAAGAAAAACCCAGTATAGACTTGAGTTACATCTCTGATGGCAAACATGAGAGCTGGAAGTAAGCAGTCCCAATCTTTTCCATCCTTTTTTACCAGCCTCTTGAGCACAGATTTTAAGGTCTTAATGGATCTTTTGAGCAGCCCATCAATCTGTGGGTGATAAACAGACGTATGCAATTGTTTGATCTGGAACAGCTTGCACAGGTCATCACCTTTGATATGGACATAGCGCCTTGGTCCATTGAAATTTCCTCAGGGAACCTGGTTCTTTAGAATATGGTAAATAATTCTCTGGCAATCGCTTTTGAGGAGGTATTCCTCAGAGGATTCCTTGTTGCATAATCAAGTACCACAAGGATACACTGGTGACCCCGAGCTTATTTCACCAAGGGGCCCACCAGATCCATCGCAATATGCACAAATGGTACTTTGATAATATGTTGAGGCATTAAAGGGTTCCTAGAATATGACATTGCAGCAGTTAGCTGAAAAGTGGGACATGAACCACAATACCTTTTCGCCTCAGCAGTAACTCATGGGCAGTACAGCCAGTCTATTATTTGTGTCTCCAGGTGGCCTTCAAATGCGTCTTGTGAACCGGATTGCTAACCATGCATCTAAAGGGTTGGGAGACAGTAACTGGTTCAGTGAATCGGTATAGCAACTCACCATTGACCACAAAGTGGAGAAACCTTCTTTCAGCCTCAGTCACTTCTGATAACCCATTAATCACTGTGGCCTGTTGCCTGGCTTTTTTTAGTGTGGGGTCCCGCATTTGGGTGGCACCAAATGCACCTTGTGATACTTCTGGGTCAGGATGCCTGGGATCAGAGTAAACTTCCCTCTCATTCTCCTTGGAAATAACATGGGGTCTTTTCCCCTGTTTTTGCCCAGTGATCAGTCCAGTAACACACCTCCTGTATTAAAGTGCCCGCACTCTGGAGGAAAGGGTAACAGAGACACCTTTGGATAGCAGAATTGTCAGCCTGGGGGAAGGGCAGTATTAGATGCACTAGCATATTTAAATACACTAACAAATAGAAGCCAAACTCCAGCTAACACTTTATAAGAAGTTGCAGAAACCGTTTTGTTCCTTATGGGAACAACGTGAAAATTCAAAGGTGCAAAATGAAAAATTTTTCTTGAACAAAGGAATTTCTAACAGTGTATGAGGTTTTTCTTTCAGGAAAGTCCATTCACTCCACAACTGAATTTTAAAAGTAAGTACTTTCATCAAGCTATTGATTGTCCTGAGAATTTCCATACAAATGTCTGTATGAAAGTTTACTAATCCCAACCACTGTACTGAAGCTCATCTGCCATTGCAAATATAACTTCAAACCTTTCTGCCAGATTCAGTCTTATTCCTAGATAGACCTGTTTCATTTGTTTAATGCAGCATTCCTATGGCATGGGAAGCAGTGAACTGGTACCTGCCAGGACCTGTTCTTTTGGGAACATCATGTAAATACTAAATTCTACACTCCAGCTATGGAATCTGTGCCCCAGCCTCCAATATACCCTCATACAACCAGAGTTCCACAGAACCCTGGGGTTCCTTCAGATGTTGCTAAGGGTTCCTTGAGCAATGAGCAATTTCTGCCCCTAAGATAGGTTCTCAATGACACCCTTGATCTTTATAACAAACTGTAAGAGGGCAATTTTTCCCAATAACCACAAGTCTAAGGAGCATTCTTTCCACTGACCATCACACTAATGTATCATGAGTTGCAGATATAGTCATTTTTAGCAGGGGTTCCCTGAGACCAGAAAGTTATTTCAAGGGTTCCTCCATGTTAAAAAGTTTGAAAGGCTGCTCCAATAAGTTGTACTTTTGGTGATTTGGCTTAGAATTTAACAGACCTGCCTGTATAAGGGCCCAATCCCACATTCTAGATGTGTGGCTGGGCTTACATTTGTATATCTGATCCTTCATTATCCATTGTATCTTTCAATCAAACCAGCTGTCTGTTGATAGTTTGGGACATGGCATGACTTCATATTCTTTGGCCCACTGTAAAACTGTGAAGTGTGAGCCATTATCACTTTGGACCTTTCTGGAATAGCTTTATGCCCAAATACCCTGCTTGCTTGGGGGGCCTGGTTGAAAGAAGAAAGAGGAATCCCCCCCCAACACCATCCAAGCAAGTGGGCTCTCCCTGACAGCAGCAGCTTCTCTCAAAGTGCAGCTCGGCAGTCCTGGCTCATTGCCAGTTGTGAGATGAACGATTTCCAGAATCCCACAATTGCAATAAATTTCTGTGTATCCTTTTTTTTTAATAGAGAATGACAGTTTCTGGACTTTGCCTCTGTTTATGGTCCATTATCTGTACCCCATATGTGATGCATCAGAAGTGCAATGCTTTAGTTAAATCCTCTTTGGTCCCAGAGATCATGATGTCATAGACATAGTGAAACACAGTGACTTTAAAAAAAGTGTTAAAATTTTAGACAATCAGTCCACGACAAATCATTGGCAAATAAAGGCACCTTTGAGGAAGAAAAGCAAAGATGTAATGAAGGTATTTTGTCAGCCATCCCATGCAAAGGCAAACTGATCCTGACACTCTGGGGTTGATTTACTAAAACTGGAGAGTGCAAAATGTGGTGCAGCTGTGTAGCTTCAGCTTGACAGACAAACCTGGAATCTGATTGGTTTTTATGCAGAGCTGCGCCAGATTTTGCACTCTACAGTTTGTGGTAAATCAACCCCTCTGGGTCTATTTAGACAAAAAAGAAAGCATTAGCCAGGGCTATTAAATGACATTCTCTTACTTATTTTGCAGTTTTCTCAATAATGAAGATCCTATCAGGTACAGCTGCCTTCAATGGGAGTGCAACTTTGTTTAGGCCTCTGTAATCCACGGTCATGTCCCACATCAGATTTCTTTACGGGGGACACTGGAGCCAAGAAAATGCTTACAGCAGGTCTAAGGATCCCCATCATCAGCAGCTCTTGAATAGACTCCTCAATTTCTTAATTTCTTTCTGGCACTGATATACCTCCCTAGACCCAGTCTGTCTAGACAGTATGGTCACCTGCTGACTAGAGATGCTCGTAGCGAAAGGAAGGAAAAGAAAATAGCTCAGGGCAGACATGACTAGGTTAAGAGGGGGTTAGAAAAGACAGGAAAGGGTTAAAAAGGAAAAGGTGGGAGTTAGGATATGGGCAAGTTACCTGATTGGTAACTGGGGGGTGTAGGGTGGGGTCTTCTACACCTTTGGGTGTGGATTCGGGTTCCGGGGGCAGTTGTTGGTCTTTGGAGGCGGCACTTATTTTGAAGCTAAAGATAATGGTTTGGGACCCATCGGTGGTATGGTGTGCCCAGGGGCATTCCAGTTAACCAAGGTTTAACTGAAAGGTGGTGGTTCTGCACTGCGGTTGGTATGTTTTGTCTCCGAGCCAGTGTGTTGCGGCTGGAGGCCTGGTTATAATATGGGTTCCGCTGGTTTGATGCCTTCGAAGACCAACAACTTCTCCTATATGTTTCTGTTTTAAGGAAAGTTTTGTGTATTGAAGTTGAAGTGTTAATAAAAGGCTGTGTTGGCAATTTTACTCCAATTGGTGTTATTTTTTTCTTTAAGGATAGGGTTAAAGGGGTATGTGAGAGAGGAGATAGTGGTGTAGAGAGTCTTGACTAGTCTCTTGTGCACTAGTAATGGCACCATCCACAGGCAGATCAGCTCTTCAAAAATCCTCAGAAGCTGCATCAAACACAATTGACTTCAGTTAACTGCAGTATAGAGGAGGTTTTTCAAGTTGTTTGAATTGTAAGCAAACAATGATGACTTTCCTAATTTTTAACTCTGCAAAGAACTAACTGACTAAGCTAACATGGAAGAAACAGGGAGAGTTTAGCTAGGAGGACAGAGAAAGATACCACATCATATATGTAAACATGTTGTATTGGTTCTACACACCACTCAATGTCATCATACAACAGAATAATAGTAACCTGAAACAGTTATGTACAGTATATGTGAGACAGAACAAGTACTGTGAGCTCAGGGCAGCATGACACCCTGGGCTCACAGGAGGGGAGTTTAATGACACTGGATGAAAATCAACCCCATAGACCAGAAACAGCAGCATGAAGGAGTAGAAAGCTGTCTTTTTGTTGTTTGCTTATTTGTTTTAACACCTGCTAGCCAAGGGATTTCAGCTAGCCAAGAGATTTTTGCTTTTCTTAATTTAAATTGCAGTTAGGCTTTATGAAGTTGAGAAAGGGCCCATCTCTTGAAGGGAATAATAGCACACACCTGTAAGAATATAAAGGTGTCGCTTCCATTTTTACAGGCAATTATTTAGTGAAAATTACAGAAATCAATGTTGCCAAGGAGAAAATTAAATCCTCCTTTGTAATACCCATGAGTTGGTCTAGTTTCCAAATTTCTACAAAAAATTATTTAATTATTAGAGGCTACCTGCCTCTACACTATGTTTGAACTTAGGAAGAGGCTCCAGGAGGGGACTTGTATTGTTTGTAAAAATATTTGTTATAGAGATGGAGCAGAGTACATTTCTCTGCAGTCTTAAATTACTGTAATTACAGATCAATTTACAAAAAACAGATTTGAGCCCAAAGCCGAGCTAGTAAAAAGGGACCTTGCTGCTTTTCTTTTAGTGGATCTAA